CTCAGGTCCTCTGGCCTGGCGCTGGGGTAGGGGGTGTGCCCTGAGGTCCCCTGTCAAGCCCTGCTGGGCGTGGGGCATGGCCTCAGGTCCCCCAGCCTGGTGCCAGGGTGGAAGGGTGCGGCCTGAGGTCCCCCATCAAGCCCTGCCGGGTGGGGGGCATGGCCTGAGGTCCCCCATCAAACTCTGCCAGGCGGGGGACGCGGCCTGAGGTCCCCTAGCCTGGCCCCGGGGCAGGGGGCGCAGCCTCAGGTCCCTGCTGATTGCTCATTAAGGCTCGTTACGGGAACTCGGCCTCTCTGTGGGCACAGCATCTTGTTATGGCATGACGGTCAATTTGCATATTCACGCCTTATTAGATAGGATATCTGTGATAAGGTCTCCAAAGGAAGGACACTTGCTGCAAGAGCAGGCAGTGTGAGCAGCTGCCTCACCTTTGTGTGTGGGAGTGAGTGTGTGTGTTGGGGGAGGTTTGTGTCGAGGCACCTGATGTGGCACGGCGTGATGCCAGGGCAGGAGTCGGGGCCAGGGCAGCAGGTATGCTACCATGTGACCTGGGAAGCTGGGTTTTGCTACTTGACCTCAGTGGCTTCTTTTCTCCCTCTTCTCCCAGTCTGTGGGGTGTCCTGGCTCCCTTGAGTTTTATTGCACCTTACCCCCCCACACATACACCCCCACTTTATCTGATTTGAATCTCAAGAATAAAATTTTCTCAGGTCAAAGATGAAATTAGCATTGTATTCACCCCATGTTGGCCTTTACATTAAACATGGCATAATTTTCGCAGTTTAACTACTTCAGGAGCTAACATGGTGGAAGCCACATCTTCCCACTGGAAGTGGAGATGTACTTACTGTGAGTCAAGCAGGACCAACAGTTTGTATACATTGTCTTCTCACACAGCTCTGGGAGGGAGGTGCCGTGTCTGTCCCTGTTGGCCAGTGGGAAGCAGGCCCGGCAAAGAGTGCAGCTAGTGAGCGGCAGAGCTGGCATTGAGGCGGAGCCGGCAGACTCCAGTGCTCAGGCCGTGGAGCTGTGTGAAGCTGGCTGTTTTTAGGGGGGACCTTAGTCTTTCTGAAATGCTCTTCACTCGAGTTGCCAAATGTGTTTTAAAGCTTTTAAAAAGCTTCAGTGGACAAGCAGGAAAAACTAGTTTTAACAACCCACCCTCAAAAAGCCTTTAATCCTTCCATCTGAAATACCTGGTACAGCAACTTCCCATTCAACTCATCGCTATCTCTGGCTGCGATTTTCAGCCTTTTTCATCTCATGGCACATAAACTACTAAAATTCTGCAACATACCAGATACAGTTTTTTGCCGGTGTGACCAAAAGAAGGGTATGATGTTGATTCATTCACACCGGATGGCTATTGTGTTGGCTGTTGTAATTTTTTAATTTGACAATTGAGGGGGAAATGGGTCAGTGTCCCTGACTAGGTATTGCATGTTTTAAAATTTCTTGTGGCACATCAGTTGAAAATTGCTGCTCTTGGCAATTGGAAATGAGGAATTTCTATTAAGAAAGCGCCTACAAAGTTTAAGGCACTGTGATTGTGTTCAGTGCCCCTGTTCTTAGAATTTCGCCACCAGCAGCAGAGAACCCGGGGAAGTCAAACACTAGAGATCTGCTGGGTGCCGGGGTCTGAGGCACTGCCCTCAGGTAGACGTTCCCTTCTCTGCCTGCTCCCTCTGAATGACATGGCTGTTGAGTGTAGGGAAGGGAAGTAGTTCTAGTGGTTGTCATAAATGTAGAGACGGAAGGAGCCATATCACCTGTACAGATGGGGTGACTGAGGCCCAAAACATGACTGTTCCGTAGTCAGGGAGCAAGTTGTGGCAAAGCCAGGACAGACCTCTCATTCAACTACTAAATCTCAGCAAATCTCACTTGAGAGTGGGCAAGGGAAAGACCATAGAGACCAGCTTTGGGCTGTTTCAGCCTACAGCGAGGATGAGGAGCGCCATCTCACACCATCTGGCCTTAGCTAATCCCCAGGCAAGTCCAGGTACTCAGGGTCTCCAGTCTGAATGGCTTGGGCAATTAATTCCAACACTCAACAAGCTGTTAGGTCCGTCTACCTGTCAGTAAAGTCTTCTTCCCAGTTTTATTGAGATGTAATTGACAAAGTAAAAATCTTGACTAGGCTTTGGACACTTCTTACAGTTCAGACAATGCAGTTCTAAGCGGTTAGGAAATACTTTGAAAAGAAAACTGGATTCTTAGTCCTTAAAGTATTTTGATTGATATTTAGGGCTAAACAAGAAAGCAGTTGAAATGTAGGCACATGGTTTGATCCTTTGTAACTTTCAGTCATTATTTGTATTCTTAGACTCAGTTCCACATTCCACAAAGATTTTTCTGGCTTAAAACAAAACACAACATTAAAAACAACACTACTCACTCGAAAGCAAGCTTTTATAAATGTAGGAACCTTTCTATATATCCCCAGCGTCTAGGAAGTCAAATATTTGTTGAATTAATTGCATGAAAGCATAAAAACCAAGTGAGTCTCTCCATAAATGATCTGTTTCAATTGTTAAATAGCATTTAACCAGATGAAGACATTTTGGGATAGTAGCCACAGGAAGGAATGTCATTATTTGATTATCACATACTTGGGAGGTTAGGGCTTTTTTCCTAAAAAGATGGTTAACTGGTCATTTGTAAAGCTATTCTGAATACACACAAAGGAAGTTGCATGGTTGTATTAGGGTAAAAAGCTAAGCTGCTGTAACAGACTCAACAAAACAGTGGCTTAAAAAACAAAGAGGTTTGTTTCTCACATAACAACTCTGAGGGGAGTTAACATTTCTGAAGTGAGCAGTCCAGGTCAGTGGGGCAGCTTTGCTCCAAGCGGTCATTCAGGGACACAGGCTCCTTATATCATGTTGCCTGCAATCTCTTGGGGGCATTGTCATAACCTGCACGGTTGAAGCTGGGTCATCAGTGGTTCCAGCCAGTGGGAAGGGAACAGCATGGAGGCGGCACCCCTGATGCCTTACTGCCCAGACCCTGCCTTGGTGTGGGGACTGCTCACTTTCTGTAGGCAAGAATTCAGTCAGACGGCACCTACCTGCAGAGGAGGCTGAGAAATGTAGGCTAGCCATGTGCCAAGCAAGAATGGGGGAACAGTTCTTGGTGGGCAACTTGCCGTCTCCACTAAGTAACATGGAAAGAGCCCGAATTCCAGGCTGCTTTAACCAATTAGCTCCAATAGCTTGCTAGGGGCAAATCTCTCCACTTCCCCAGCCATGAAATCAGGGAGTTGTCGGAGCTGACCTCTGATATATTGACAAAGTCTTGTCTGATGAGATCTTAAAGAGGAGAATTTAAAAAAACATTATAGGTGCCCTGACTGGTTTGGCTAGGTGGATAGAGCGTCGGCCTGCGGACTGAAAGGTCCCAGGTTCGATTCCAGTCAAGGGCATGTACCTTGGTTGCAGGCACATCCCCAGTAGGAGGTGTGCAGGAGGCAGCTGATCGATGTTTCTCTCTCCTCGATGTTTCTAACTCTCTATCCCTCTCCCTTCCTCTCTGTAAAAAATCAATAAAATATATTAAAAAAAACGTTATAGGGAATGTGAGACTGATGGAGACGGTGGGCCAGTGCTAACACTCTGAAGGTGGTGGGGAGGGAAGATAGGAGGTATTTATAGTCCATCTCCTTATAAGAAGGAATCAAGACCCCCCCCCAAAAAAAAAGGAAAAGAGGAAGATTTCTGAAGAATTAGCTCTTCTACTAAGATGTTTATGTTAAGACCCATGCTCACAAGCGAAACATACCAAACTCAAGCAGAAAGGTGAATTGATAATAGGCTGTTCCATCAAATTCAAGGATGAGAGGGCATCAAGGTCCCGCGTACAACTGGTACTGCCTAATCTGATGCTGTGGAGACTTCCTCTCTCCCTTCCCTCAAACAGACTTTCTGTAGAGGGTGGGAGACAGGGCTGCCAGTAGCACCGAACCCTTACCTCTTAGAGCTTTTACATCCCTCTCGGGGTGTAAAGGGACACTTGGGGATTGTGCGATGCTTTCTCTGGTTCTAAGTTCAAAAGCACAAGGACATCTCACACCCATTAGGATGGCTCCTACCTATTAAGAAACCAGGAAGTAATAAATGTTGATGAGGATGTGGAGAAATTGGAAGGCGTGTGCACTTTTGGTGGAAATGTAAAATGCTGCAGCCACTGTGAAAAACAGTATGGAGCCCTAGCCGGTTTGGCTCAGGGGTTGGAGTGTCAACCTCAGACTGAAGGGTCCTGGGTTTGATTCCAGTCAAGGGCATGTACCTCGGTTGCAGGTTTGATCCCCGGCCCCAATCTGGGTGCGAGCAGGAGGCAAACAATCGATGTGTCTCTCTCACATTGATGTTAGTCTCTCCCCCTCCCTTCCATTCCCTCTAAAAATCAGTAGAAAAAAATATCCAAAGGTGAGGATTAACAAGCAAACAAAACAAAAAAAAACAAAACAAAAAGCCAATATGGAGATTCCTCAAAAAATTAGAAGTAGGATTGCCGTATGATCCAGTAATTCCACCTCTGGGTACATATCCAGAAGAACTAGGAGGGTGTTAAGGCCTTCTTGTACACCCATGTTCATAGCATTATTCACAATAGCCAAAAGGTGGAAATAATCCCCAAGTGTCCTTCGACAGATGAATGGATAAACGTAATGTGATCTATATGTACAATGCAATATTATCCAATCTTCAGGAAGGAAATTCTGACACATCCTGCAAAGTGGACGAACCCTACAGATATGCTAAATAACATAAGCCAGTAAAAAAAAAACAAAAACAATTACTGGATGATTCCACTTTTTTAAAGTTACCAATTTCATAGAGGCAGGAAGTAGAATTGAAGTTGGCAGGAAAGAGGAGGAAATGGGGAGTTGTTCAATGGGTATAGAGTTTCAGTTTTGCAAGACAGAAAAGGTTCTGGAGATTGGTTGCACAACACTGTGCAATGTTTAATACTACTGAACTTTACACTTAAAAATGGTTAAGGTCATAAATTTTGTTAGGTGCATTGTACCACAGTTTACAAAAGGGCAGGGCAGGTGCAGCTGGGCACCAGGCCTGCCACCACCAGCACTGCCTCTCTCTCCTTGCTCTCCTCTGCGTGCTGACTCCATGCGTTTCTCCATGCACACCGGTTTTCTTCAAATGCTCATTGGCATTTTCCACACCTCGCTTCTCATAGCTCTTCCCCACCGCAAAGTGAGCCTGTGTCCCAAATTTAAAGATCTCAAGGAAGGACTCCGTGCAGAGCTGAGTTCTGTTGTCCCTCGCCCTGGATTAAGCAGGAAAGCTGGTTGCCCAAGAACATGGCAGTTCCCTATAGAGCCATGTGACTAGACCGTGGCTGAGGTCAAAAACCGTTTTCAGAAAGGGTGGGTGTGGGATTGATGCTGAATAGACCAAACAATACACATCCTAAGCAGTGACACAGAGCCATTACTGGCAGGTTAAGAGAGAAGCCCAGGTCTTCCGACTGCGCCCCTGGGTGGCGTATGGTAACTACGAGTACTTCCCACACAAAAGGAAGGCCTTGCTGTGCAAAGCCCCCGGGACAGTGCATTCTCAGGTGTGACCTCATTCAGGCTTTGAATCTCCAGATGGGGGTGATGAGCCACCTGAAAGTGAGACTTAAAATCGCTTAGGCTATGTCTTCTTCCTGAGCTTCCTTGTTAATATCAAGGGGATTGAGGGCTGAAGACTTTTATATAAATGTTATTGTGGACTCAAAAATATCTCTGTGTCCTACTAGCCCTGCACAATGAGGTAGAATCCCATGAAAACCAGTGGGTTCCTGATGGCAGATGGAGGCGCCAGCCCACCTCGTTCACAGTCAGAATCTTCACATGCTTTTTAGGAATTCCCTTGATAGTGGCACTCCTGGCTTTCGGTTGTTTTAAATGTCAGCGCGTGCAGAGAATTCAGTGATCATCTGGTTCAGTTGTTTTCCAACTTGTTTTATTTGTATTTATTTATTTTTTAAATATATTTTTTACTGATTTCAGAGAGGAAAGGAGAGGGAGAGAGAGATAGAAACATCAATGATAAGAGAATCATTGATTGGCCGCCTCCTGCATGCCCCACACTGGGGATCGAGCCTGAAACCTGGGCATGTGCCCTGACTAGAAATCCAACCTTGACCTCCTAGTTCATAGGTCGATGCTCCACCACTAAACAATGCCGGCCGGGCAGTTCTCCAACTTGTTTTAGCTGTGGATCTTTTTTGTTCCTTCCTCCAAATAAAGTCTTACCTGAACCCCAATATATAATATAGATTGAAACAGAGTCTCGTGGGGTTTGGGCGGGCCACAGGGGCCTCTGGACCTTCTGATTGTCTCCTCCCCTTTGAAAGGCACTGATCTAGATGAGCCATTTGATTTCACAGATGGAGAAACTGAGGCCCACAGAGGTTGAGTAGTTCACAGCATGAAGAATATTAGAGCTGTGACCTGAGTCCTGGTCGCCTGGCCTCAGAGCTGTGTTCTTTCTATTGTATCAATAGCTTCTAGCTATTTTGAATGATCACTTCATCATTTTTCTTCAGGTCCATGATAGCTTGAACTGGACTAAATATGACGGCAAATAGAGGACTTTGGGAGCCTGATCTAATAAACAGATAAGAGCTTTATAATTAGGAGCGTTTGTTAATTTATTCAGCAGACTTAATGAGTGCTTACTACTAGTATTTACCATGCTAGGTACTAGAGATATGTATCAGCGAACAAGACAATTCCTGTCCTCAGAGCGTTCCAAGTCTTCCATGCTACGTCAGTGGATGTGATGATACTATAACAGAGAGGGGAACGTGCACAGTTGTTCCTGACCCAGTTCAGGGAAGTCTGGGAAGAATTTCTGAAGAAACGGCATCTAAGAAAACACTAGAAGAAACAGGAGTGAGTCAGGTAGGGGAGTGTTAGGAGAAAGGCTGGAGAGGTCTGCAGGAACCAGGTCCCAGAGGTCCTTGTAAACCATTAACCCCAAGGTAACAGCCTCAGGTATGTTTGCTGGGGAGATCCCTGCTACAATGTGGAGAATGAATCAGCTGAAACAGACTGGAGGCAGGGGGACGGTGGTTGAAGTGTTTGGTAGGTAGAATTTACAGGACTTAATGATTGGTTAAATATTGACGGTGAGGGAGAATAATGGGTCAAGAACAGGCTCAGGTTTCTCACTTGGGCAATTGATTGATGGTGGTTTCTTTGGCCAAGATGGGGAGCACTGGAGAAAGAGCAGAAGTGTGCTGAGGGCAGAGGATGAGTTCAGCTTGGGAGTGGTTGAGCTTGAAGTGTCTGTGAAGAATCCTAATGGGGAGTACAGCGAGGAACTGGGTATTCAGGTTGAGCCCAGAGAGAATTCTGGGCTAGAGATAAGGATCTCTAAGTCATCAGCATTGATGGCATTCAAAGCTGTGGAGAATGAGGTCACTTGAGCAGGGGGTGTAGTGAGAAGAGCAAAGGTCTAGCGCAGAACTGGAGGAACATCCAACAATTGTGGAAGAGGAGCTTGCATCAGAAACTGAGGAGAGAGAGGGGAGCGACCAGGAGGCTGCTGGGATCACGAAGCTGAGTGGGAAGAGCTTTAGTAAGCAGCGGGGGAGGCTGTGCAGAGAGGCCATGTCCATAAGGAAGGAGACACATTCCGTGGATTTTAGTGACGAGAGCATCGTGTAGCCTTGGGAAGGGAAGGCTCAGTTGGTGGGTAGCAAATGGAAGTCACATCTCAGTGGTTTGGAGAGTGAGTGGGAGGAAGGAGGGTAGTCACAGTGAGCGTGGTCTGCTCTTTAAGTTATGAAAAGGAGAGAGGGTGGTTGCCAAAGGGAAGCGTGGGGTTGAAGGAAGTCGTTTTATTTCTGAGAGACTAGCACATGTTTAAATGCCACTTGGAAGGGCTAGTAGTACTAAATACTAGAAAATGGTTTCCTCCTTTTGTGACAGATTTGGAGGAACGTATGTATGGCTGCCCTCCTCCTTGATGTTGTCTAGAGCCGGAGGGAGGGTGACCACACGTCTGGTTTTGTCTGGGACGTTCCTGATTCTAGCACTCGGAGTCCCCTGTCCTGGGCAGCCACTCAGGCCAGGCAAACCAGGATGGTTTGTTCACGTCCTGTAGACTTCCTCCCTAAGGACGAGTAAGAAATAGTCTACCGTTGCAGAAGGCAATTTACCATTTCCCTGAAGACCAAGAGGAGCTGCCTGCCTCAGAAAAAGACCTGTTGCAAGGAACAGAAGGAAGTGTAGGCACTACCTGATTAGTGTAGCCATAGGCTTCAAAAAGATGGTACCTATTTAATTTACAACCAGCAATCCTGCCAGTGCAATAATCTGAGATAAGGAGATGTGGAGGAGGTTAAAATGCGGCTGTTAAATTAAAAACTGTATGGAGCCCAGCTGGTGTGGCTCAGTGGTTGAGTGTCACCTGTGAACCAAGAGGGTGGCTGGTTGATTCCAGTCAGGGCACATGCCCGGGTGTTGGTCTTGATCCCCAGTAGGGGGCGTGCAAGAGGCAGCTGATCAATGATGTTTCTACCTCTCTATCGTTCTTCCTTTCTCTTTAAAATCAGTAAGAACATATTTTAAAAAATTAAAATAAAAACTGCAGGGAAGCCCTAGCTGGTTTGGCTCAGTGGATGGAGTGTCGGCCTATGGACTGAAGGGTCCCAGGTTCGACTCCAGCCAAGGGCACATGCCTGGGTTGTGGGCTTGATCCCCAGTGGGGGGCGTGCAGGAGGCAGCCAATCAATGATTCCCTCATCATTGATGTTTCTATCTCTCTTTCCCTCTCCCTTCCTCTCTAAAATCAATAAAAATATATTTTAAAAAAAAACTGCAGGGAAGCAACAAATGCCAGGTGAGCACCAGGGCTAAATTTAGCAAAGAAAACAAACTAGAGATGGACTCTCAGAGCACAGAGGAAACTGATAGAGACCTGAAAATAAAAGGAGATGTGGAGGGCAGAAGAGTGACAGATTAGTTTTAAGAATTCAAATGAGCCCGGCCAGCGTGGCTCAGTGGTTGAGTGTCGATCTATGAACCAGGAGGTCACGGTTCAATTCCCGGTCAGAGGCAGCCTATCAATTATTCTCTCTCATCATTGAGGTTTCTATCTCTCTCTCCCTCTCCCTTCCTCTCCGAAATCAATAAAAATATATCTTAAAAATTCAAATGAATGGACTAACAATAATGAATGATGAGTGAAAACATGTTGAGTGCTTACTCTATGACAAGCATTTTACATGCGTGAAATCATTTAATCCTCAAACAATATCGTGGGTGCTCTTCTCCCCATTTTGCATATGGGGAGACTGCAACAAATACTTTTTAAAGGGGGAAAAATAAAATAAAATAAAAATATGTTTTTATTGATTTTATAGGGAGGAAGGGAGAGGGAAAGAGAGATAGAAACATTGATGAGAGTGCCCAGCTGGTGTGGTTCAGTTGATTGAGCATCGTCCATGTACCAAGAGGTTGCTGGTTTGATTCCTGGTCAGGGTGTAAGCCCAGGTGATGGGTTCGATCCTCAATAGGGGGCCTGCAAGAAGCAGTAAATCGATAATGCTCATCATTGATGTTTCCATTTCTCCCTTTCCCTTCCTCTCTGAAATCAATAAAAAAAAAATACATTAAAAAAGAAACATCACTGAGATGTAAAAGATAAAGTCCCAGAAGCAGCCTTTGGCTGGGTCAGGTGGGGCTGATAGGCTGAGGTAAGGATTTTGGATTTTATTCTAATTGCAGCGGAAGAGGGTTTTATTGGTGTGTGTGTGTGTGTGTGTGTGTGTGTGTTTAGCAGGGGTAGAATGTAATCTTGATTTACATGAAGAGATAAGTCTCGCTGCTAGGTGCAGAATGGACTGTGAGGCATAATGAGGATGTGGAATGTGGAAGCAGGAAAAAGTTTAACCGGATGTTCTGGCTGGACGCAGGGCCTGGAGCTCAGAAGTTTTAGGTAGGTTAATGATCTCTGATCTCCACCCTGGGGCATTTCCTCCTGTTTATCTAATCACACTCCCAAATTTACATAAAGATGAAGGGTCCTCTCGTGGAGGGAAAGGGATCAGATTCCAACCCCTTGGAGGTCCGAGCTACCCTGCCTTGCTGGGTCCTTACAGATTAGGCCAGTGGAAGACCCAGGATGAGTATTTCAAATTGCAACTCAGTCTTTGCCGGGTACACGTTGCTGTTTGGGCACAGACACAAAATAAATATCTGTTGTGTGAATGTGGGTGCATGGCAGAAAGACTGCAGAGAAGGAGAGAAGAGGCCATGGGTGAGGTATGTCCAGACAAGGAGGAGAGAGAGAAAGAGGTTCCTGTGGACTTTCTGGTTTCTGACCCTCCCGAGGCCGAAGGTGCTTCTGTGGGCTCCTGAGATACCTGTTTCCTGATCAAAATCCCTGTTTTTGCTTACGTGGATTTTTTTTTATGTGCAGCCCCAGGACCCTGCTCCAGGGTAAGCACTTTATTATAGCTCCTGTCCTTCGTGGCCGCTGTTGCTGTCTTCTGAGGTTGGTGGTGCCCTTGTTTCCCGTGGCCTCACCAACTGAGGGCTTTACTGCCTGGTTTTGTTTTTTCTAGTTTTATGGGCCTATACTGTTATCTTTTTTTTTTTTTAAGGATTTTTATAAGAGTTTATTTGAGCCAAACTGATGACATATGCAGGAAGCAAGATCTCAAATGCTCCTGCCTATATTATTTATTTTTTAAAAATATCCTTTTTCTTTTCTTTATTGATTTTTTTTTAAATTTACACTAGGTGGTGGGCACAAAGCAACCCCCTTAATAAAGTTGACAATTAGCTTCACTCAGAACATTTTTAATAATGCACATTAAAAAAAAAAA